ACGTATCTTTTTTTTATTTTAAGTCATAGATTTATTTGATACAAATGGATTGTAAAGTGCCTTGCTGAAATTAAGTTTTACACGTACCGGTACACGTTCAATTTGTTAAACAGAACACGACATAGTTACGTGTACGTGTAAAATCACTTCTAGGTTTAGACGTACACGGTCAAATGCTTAACCTCTCTAATATCTGAATCCGCAGTTTTTTTTATTTAAAACTTTACTTATTATTGCATTTTACTGTTTAATTAGAAATTATTACATTTACTTAGGAAATTCCACCAAAGTAGACTCTTCTATAGGCGAGATCCTCTTATTCCTATACAGCAGTAGGGTTCTATTTCTTTCAGGAACCTTTCCTTGCATTCATTGTTTGCTGCGTACAGAAGCTCTCGTCTTGGACCTCCCAATACCTGTGCTGCCTCTGTGGGAAATCTTATGTTTTCCATATATTGTGTTTCCTCCAGTTGGTCGGTTAGGAGGGAATGCCTGCCGACGTTCACGACTGATGTTTCCCCCACAATAATATCCTCTTCGCTGATGACGTCCAGCGGCCTTTCTATTAGGAATAGTTCCTGATATTGTTTAAGGATTAATTTTGGATATGTTGTTTTCCCCATACTGAATAAATACGATAAATTCTCCCAGTGATCCTTGATAATAAATGACAATGGGAAAAGTTGAGTGTGGCAACACCAACAGACTCATTTCAATCAAAAAAGCTTACTTAAGCCTTCAGCTGGGGGGGGGGGGGGGTTTAAAACTCTTGCACTTCATCATTACGTTAAATGTTTTAATACTCTCAATATTTTTTTTATATTTTCCAGAGAATACAGCTACATAACACTGAAGGTAACACTGAAGATTCCGACATCAAAACTTGTTTCGACACAACTTAGGCAGCTATTCCAAAATAAAACGTTCCAGGAAGGAAGGGGGAAATCCAGAGGGTTGACAGCTATTGAGATGTGAGTCTATTTGGTGTATTAATGCAGATTCAGAACTTTCTACCTACTTAGATGAAAAAATGATTGAATTCACGCAGAAATTACCGATAATATTATTTAAAAGGCATAGAAAGATTGATGTTATTCCACTTAATGTGAAAATCTAGTTATTCCACACGATACAACTAGGAAGAAATATTTTACCTATAGTTTAATATACCTTATTGCATTTACTATAGATGTTAATTCAGTCCCAAAAGCTGCAAAATATGTAAAGTAATTTGTTGTTAATTACTTAATCCTTTTTTTTTTTATAATTTCTTTATGTTGGAGAGAAAGCTTTGCATTTATGCTCTTTTACGGATGAATTTGACAAATTGTATTTTCTACTTATCGCAATTAATAATCATTCAACTCAACAAAATGTAAGCTTGAGAATTAATCAATTAATTACGTTCAAACAAAAAGTTTAAACTTCCGGCTTACCTTATAATCTTTTCCTTCTTTTTTAGTGCAACTAAGCAAAAAAGGCAAAGAATGCGGGGAAGCCCTGCCCAGAAGACTGAATAAGAGATATACTTCAAGATTTGCTACATTAACAATTTTTTGGAAAGCTGGAAGTACTAGTAATTACACAAAGATCAAGTTTTAATTGTATGTTTTGTTATAAAAATTAACCATAGATATCATTATTTTATCAATGACCCAGATTCACATTAGTTATATGAATTTAGTTTTAGAATAATTTCATAATGTGACTGTATTTACACCAGTCTTGATATATATCATGTCAATGATTTTATAATCCATGTTTACTTTATTCTGTTCTTTAAACAAAAAATGATCAAGTCGATAATAACAAATAAAGTAGTTAATTGCAAAAAGTAAATCTGTTATATTTCGAGTTGCCTTTTATATTCCTTTAGTATGTTAGACCTTTCTGCAATACAGTAACAAACAAAAATTTCAAAAAAGCACAAGATTATTTTTCTTTCTAGGCATTTAAATATTTAATCAAATAATGCTGTCATGTTCAACTACTATAAATGTGGTATGGTATTTCCGGAAGCCAGTTTGATTTTCTTTCAATAAATCAATTTCATTGGCTTAATTGTCTTATCTCGAATTTTATATTTTATACCTGACTGATTCTTACGTAGAGATTGTAAAAGATTGTGATATATGTACACTGGAAATACACTGCATAAGTTATGGGTATCAAAATCTTGTAAAAATTATAACACCAACGCAAGCTATAAAGACATAATCACCCGTGCTAACAAATTTTATGATCATCATTTCTACGACGTCCGTCCGTGAACTTCTCACAATTTCAACTACTCAAAAATCACAGGTCAGATTTTTACCAAATTTGGTACAAAACTTCCTTGGGTAAAGGGGAATTTAAATTGTCAAAATCGAGGGCTAAGTCACCTTCAAAGGGTCAACAATGAAGACAAGATAAAATCGAAATTGCAAGAATTTTGTGGTAGTGGGGATGGTAGTGGGGATTCATGATCCATGGACGGGTCCGCAATATAATTATTTCTAATATGTTACCTATAAGTTATAATATACATTAAAACATATGGGAGAAAACTTTAAAAAATCTCAAGAACCAGTTGATTCGAAAAGCTTTAACATATGATGAAGCATCCTGAGGTTTTGTATTTTGTTCAAACCATGACCCCATGGGGTAGGGCGGGGCCACAATAAGGACTCTGAGTTTACCTTTAAAATATTCATAGGAAAAAAATCGTTGTTTTTTAGTTGACCTGAGTTGAAGGGAAATGATCACATCTTGTCCGTCATCCGTCCATCTTTCCGTCCGTCCGTCTGTAAACTTTTCACATTTTCAACTTCTCAAGAACCAATGGGCCAATTTTAACCAAACTTAGTACAAATAGTCCTTATTGGCTAAAGGGAGATTAAATTGTAAGAATGAAAGGCCAAGTTCAAGAAAAGACAAAAAAGGGCAGGGTCATTAAAAACCTTCGTTTCAATAAGTATGGGGCCAGGAAAGCTAGAACTTATGTGGAAGCATCCTTGGGTAGTGTATATATTAAATTATTCAAATCATGATCCCCGGGGATAGGGCGGGGCCACAATAGGGAATCCACGTTTTACATAGAAATATATAAAACAAATCTCTAGAAATCTTCATCTCAAGAACCACTGAGCCTGGAAAGCTGAAACCCATTGGAATAACCCGGGGGTAGTGTTAATGTTAAATCAATACCCCTTGGGATAGGGCGGGGCTACAATAGGGAATCCAATTTTTACATAGAAATAGTTAGGAATTTTTTTTAAGAATCTTCTTATAAAACCACTGGATCAGGAAAGTTGAAACTTATATTGAAGTATCGTGGGTGTACAATTTGATTAAAATCAGCTGTTGTTTGTAAGTGGTAGCGTATCAGAACAGCTGATTTAAATCAGATTGCGTGGGGGTAGTGTAGATTCTAATGTATTAAAATCATGAAAAGCGAGGGGGTAAAGAGAGGTATAACAGGAGGGGGAAATCTGATAAAGAACTGCATCATCCAAGTTACACAGGTGAGCGATGAGGCACATGGGCTTCTTGTTAGTAATTGACCATTTCATTGACTGAAAAAATACCCCCCTTTCTTAAGAAACTAGATTTTAAATTATCCACACCATGACCCCCAAATTGTAGGAGGGGTCACAATCGGTATTAGAGGGAGGGGGTATGCGAAAAAATAGCAAGGCTCATGGGCCTCTTATTTATCCTGCAAGCACCTATGTTTTATTCAAAACATGAACCCCGGTTTAATACTGCTCATATGCCTCTAGGTCCTCCCTAATTTTCTTAGGGAGGTGGCCAGATGGTGTCAGCCTGAAGCTGGTAGACCAGATCAGATGAGACGAAATCGTCCTGCCCCTCGAACCTTTGATCCTCCTGAAACAGGGTGTCCATGAGGTTGTTTTTGACTCTTTGTATCAAAGTACAGTAACATCAGTGTCACTGATGCTCTGCACCTCACAAAGCTGCGGCCACTCTCCGGCATATTTTGGAATGTCCACCAAGACCATATCATGGATACTGAATGTCTTGGTGGACTCTGCCGGTGTTTTTTTTCCAATGATAACCTTTAAGTTAAAAATAACATTGTTAAATTAAATTAATTGAAATTTTAAAGAATCATCCTTATATAGATCTGATGATATTAAGGTACATTGATAATTTGATAAGATAAAAGTTGGAGTCGACACCCTCGAATACAGATCTCTCTCTCTCTCTCTCTCTCGTCTGAGATCAATTCAACTAAACTTAGCGCATGTTATTCTTGTGTTAAGGGAATTCAAATTTTAAAAACCAAACTGTTACACCCTCTATTTCAAAATAGCAAAATAATACTAGCATCATTGATAAAAATCTTCTCAAGAACTAGTGGGTCAGGAAAAACGAAACCCATGTGGAATCATTGTTAGACAGTGTAGATTCAATAGTTCGAATCATTACCCCCTCCCTATTTAGGGTGTAGGTCGGGGCCACTTATGCATTTAATATTTGCAATACTTAGGCCACACCAATTTAATTTCTTGTTCGTCGGACATTTGATGAAAAAAGTAACAGCGGATTGGCGGTTAAATAACAATATTATTACTTTAATTTTAGGCAAATTTTTTTAGGATGGGTGTAAAAAAAATTAAGCGTTTTCTTCGATAATCTCTTTGAAATTAAGTAGTGTTGATTTTTTGATAATTCATCCAGAATGTAAATTAGGCAAATCAATAGGTCAGGAGCTAAGGAGGTCTTATATGGTGAAGAATAAGTGCACATTTCTTTTAAACAAATCCACACAATAGTTTCTCAGGAAAGTTTCGAAGGGAATTTCCTATACAGATAGACAGAACGACCGGGTAGAAGATGCACATAGTAAAATGAAATTTGTTATGTAGATCTAGTATAGAAATTTCTAAGTCAAGTTCTGTTTAAAGTACGGTCCAGTATATTTTGTTTTGACTGAAGTATGCTCCTTGTACTTAAAAAATTCCATTTAATGGGGGAGGGGTTATATGTTTTACTAACATCTCGTTTATTTATATTATACCCCATTCATCGTAATTCTCAAAAAATGACATTCACCAATTCTTGTCCTCATCCTTTCCAAAGTATTTGAAGCTGGCCCGGACGTCATTTTGTAGTTTTTCCAGATTTTCTTCGATTTCTTGATAATTTGGCTGGATTACTTCTGGCTCTCCCTCCACCTGGCATTTCAACAAGGGCTCCTCGGTTCGATTCCATTTCTAATTAAAAATACATATTGTCGATTTTAGTTAAGTGTGCATAGTATATGTATAGTTTTGTTAAAATACGAGCGCGCGGGCTCGATGAACACAATTTTTTTTTATTGGTGTGGCCTAAGTAATTATACGTGTTCCTACTAAATTTGAAGTTCTCATAATATTAAAGATCTCGAAAATTTGGGCAAATTTTTGAACGCAGCAACAATGTTGAGAAAAAATAGAACTGATGTATAGAATTATTCCCATTTATGTGTTCTTTACGATCAATCTCTCTGTATGTTTCTTCTTTTCGTTATTATCGTGTTTGTTGTATAACTCTGATGAACCAGTTGGCTTAAAGAAATAAGGAAACTGAAACTGAATATATTCCGGTCTCACAGCGCAAAACATGGACTTTATCGTTATTACCAGGTATAATGTGGAAGGCAGGGGTATGATTTAGTGAGCACAGAGCACAGTGCTCACATTATCTCGAGATGAATTTCCATGCATTTAAAAAAAATCTGAATGTTTAGTCATACCCTTACAAAACTTACGATTTCAAGTTTTTGGTCTACATGAATAAAGAAAGTGTGTCAATAGTGTTACATGTTGAGATGTATGTTAGTTTTATTAATTATTTTATTCAGTTTCACAGGACTGCAAAGTAGTTATCCCTGTTGTTTAAATAGACTTGTACAGTGTAGGAAAGGGTCCTGTTATTGACCTTGTCGGTCGACCACTCTTTCCACCAGATCTTTGCTTTCCCACTCTCTTCCTTCTGAATTTTGAACACATGGGGACGGGAGTGATTCTTTATTGTGTTCATGTATGGTGTGAGCCACTCGGTAATATTGAAGACTTTATCAGTTTTTATACTGGTGGGCTGGGGGGTAAAACACTTCTCAAAACCCGACATAAGCTTCTCCACTGTTACAGCTGCATGCCTCCCATACCAGTGACTAAACCTGTAAAATTTATAACCTTTAATTTGTTTACAAGTAATATTGAATTTCTGCATGCAAAATATCATTGGGAGGATTATAATAAATTGAGTATGCTTTAATTGAGTAACGCTTACATTTTCTACAAGCGTATATATTCAAACACTACTCTCTAGTTAAATATGGAATGAAATTAATGTGTAGAAATATTTTAAATATTTTTTGGATACATACTTGGAAAAAACCTGATCAATATCTTCGTGGGTGTGACCCACCATCAGAAATAATATTTTGATTTTCTTGAAAATGCCTTTTTCAACCAGGTAAGCCATACAATAAATTAAAATGATATCTCATTGAAAACTTTTTTTAGATTCAAGTTTTGTTTTTTGTTTTTTATCATAATTGATTCACTGTGTATTTCCCCAAAGGAAGACCAGCAGCCAGGCTTCACTTCACTTAGATAATGGATTGGTAAGGAACAAAACATATCTTCCAGGTGGAGGACTGTTTATAAAAAATAAAACCCATTTTGATATTATGATTTAATTACATGAGACAATGCCTCTTATAAATGTAATGCAAAATAATATCTCTTATATATATATATATATATATATATATATATATATATATATATATATATATATATATATATATATATATATATATGGATTCCTATACTCTAATCATATTAAATGTCATTTGTAAAATGTATTTTTGAAAGACAGATTTATTTGGGATAGACTTTAAATGATTACATAAAAAGCAGGCCATACTTTCAGCACATGACAAAACATTCTCTCAAATTACACAGAACTGGGTTATTTAGCATAACTAACATTAAACATAAAGGTGAGGGATAACATAATCACAATTATAAACAATGTGAAACAACTTTAAATGACCTATAAGGTGGATTACAAACCTTTTTCACTGGGGTAAAATCTTTTGGAGATTCGACAATGGCCGCCTTATTTACATAGAAAATTATGTCGTACTTGGAGACATATTTTTAAAAAAAAAAAACTTGGTGTTATAACTTGAGAGAAACACACCTATGTTTCTTTTTTTGACTGTATAAAGTACTCTTTTCTTTTTTTTTGAACACACACAAACGTTTCGTTTCTTTGCAAGATATAAAAAAGATCATCTTTTTTTTCTAAGATACAATCGTTTCTTAGACTGTATTTTAGGGAAAAAAAACTTTTTTTTCTAAGACTTACATAATTCGTTTCGTTTTTCGACTGTTTAAGTAGGCATCTTTTCTAAAGATTTGGTGGCTCTTAAAAAAGCCGTTTGGTAAACACTTTTGGTTTAATCGTTCTTGTTTATTTTTGTTTTGTTTTTTTCATTTTTGGCATCTTCTGGGGTGAGGGTGGGTCCTCTTTAGCTGGTTAAAAGTTCCTGGACCATCTCTCCCTCGTCGGAACTGTCACTGTCGTCCGGACGTCTAAACTGGGGTCTTCTGCCCACGGGCTGTATCGTGACCTCACTATTGCCGCGAAGGGGGCAGGGTTGGTTGTGTTCAATCAATCTGGCCACACAAAAAGTGCACGCAGTGCTGCTGCAGTCAGCGGTTGCAAACAAAGTAGTTATGCTCCTTGTCCGCGAGGCAGAGAGTACAGAGGATACGCCCGGTGGGGACGGAAACCCCCCGGGGGGAATCCCCCCCCCCCCTGATTTCTTGCCTGGGTCTGGGGGTCAGCAGGTCCGGGTGGTGTTTGTGGGGGCGGGGACCTGGATGGTTTTCTTCTGTAGGGGTGGGCCCTCCGTCGCTGGTCATTCACTTGGATCCTTGACATATTTAGGCGAAGAATCTCACGCCCGTTATCGATCCTCCTCACCACAATACAGGATTCGAGCACTATACCGGGGATGAGATATAAATCTTCGTGGAAAATACGTTGATTAGCAGCCATGTTCTTCTTTCTTCTTCTTCTCGGGAAGTAAACTGTAAATCAGCTAAGACCAGAATGATGACGAGCGCTCGGAGGGGCTGTATTTATAAACAATAGCAGACGATACTGCAATTGAGGCAAAACATGGAAAAAACCAATCATGTGATCAAATGTGATTGGATAAAAGAAAATCATGCCATTTAGTAAACACACCCACCACAGCGAGAAAGCAAAATTGAAGGGGGAAAGGACGAACCCGAGTGTAGATGACGTCATACAATAACATAACACTGATGTAGTATTACATGATTTTATTATTTCTTAAAAACTAACAATGCTTCTAACTGTCGAATTCTCCTCCGAAATCGTATTCGATCCGCTACTAGGCCCATCCAGGGACTTGTCCGGTCTTCGGGTGGTAATTCGTAGATTTGATTGAGGCTGGAATTTAAAGTTACGGATTTCCTAGCCTGTGTGAAACTTTCAGGTATTTCATTCCGTATTGAATAAATACTTTCTCCATCGCATCTATGTCCTGCCACAGTAAAATCACTTTGGCCGCTTGGGGATGGGTCAGGAAACTGTAAGGCTTTCCGAAATAACGGGTCAGGTTCAGTCCGTACCATTTCCTGGGCAGAAATATTTTCATATGTCGACACCTGGGTCGATGGTGATTAGGCATTCAAGTCAGTGTTTTGAATGCATTCAACGGATACCAACGGATGCAAATGGACGAAGCTAGAAAAATCATAAAAGAAATTTTAAATGACGACGTAATGTTAACATTAGCCTCAAGACTAGTTAGTCAAAGACCGACGACAACAGTAACTTCAACAACGGCGACATTGTCGTCGCAAACGTCGCCGGCAACCAATGCACAGACAAACCAGCCAACTCTTCGAAAATTTGCTTTTCATAAGAGCAATCGCCACGAAGATTCTCCAAGAAACCTTCAACAATAAGGTATTTATCTAGTTTTTTTTATACTACTGAAAATTAAAAACTTTACATTGAAATAAAGAAAGTAGCTACTTTATGATATTCACTATTCCCCACTATTTGATACTATATGCATTTATTCATGGCAAAGAAAACTTCTTATGTTTATGTTTCACAAACAGCACCAAAAATTAAATACCGGGTACACAAAAAGAAAATAACCCATAGAAAAAGCTCTTTGATTTCTTCAATTTTACTTAAACATTACATATAGTATGAAATGAGTGATAATAAATGCATTGAGATTAAGATGCTAGGATATTCAATGTATTGATATGATTGTCATTTTGATATCCAACTGAGGTTTATATCTGGATTAGAAACTTATAAACTCAAACGTATATTTTACTTTAAAGCTTTTAGTCTCACTCTTGCTTACTTTTACATGATACATAATCTGCCTTTATTTGAAGTATAATATGGACAACCATACTGCTTAAAGTTAGCCTTATCTATTATTGGTTTAGTTTGAATATATTTTATTGTAATTTTTAAATACAAATGGATTTGTCAAACGTTCTAAAACCCTCCCCCTACATAAAAATTTTTATTTATTCTTTATTTGCCTAACACATACGTATTATCACATTTTTTTCACAAGTATATAATAAAAAAACAGATTAGTATGGTTTGGCTTTTCTAATAAATGTATTAAAAAAAAACAGCGCCTGATTTATACAAAAGATTCACCTGGTTTGGTGTGTCTATACATAGAATAAAACAAACTTTGTAAATATACTGATACAAAGATGAGACACCCGAAGAATGAATCACAAAATCATTTCTTTACGTAAAAGCTAATTGCAGAAATTTGCCGAAATTACATAGCTCAGACAAAATTTGAACATGCAATAATTGCAATACGCGTAGTTTAAATGCTGGTTATTTTTTTCCCAATAGTAACTTTTAATATACTGTATTTAATTCTCAATTACACATAAAGGGGACAAATTAAAGCAAAATGAAATTCGTCTTTTAAGATAGTTTTACAAAATTCACAATATCTTAATTCTTTCACAATATACTATGCCAGCCAGTTTCTATTGCTTAATTATGTAAAGACATTCATATTCTACCTATTTGTAATTTATAAAAAGTAGGTATTGACTTTCTTAAAAAATATTGAAGGTTAAATTATCTACAATGTGTCTTTAAAAAAATATTTTATTAAACAATTAAATTCTGCCATAAGATTTTGTATGAAATTTTCTGTTATTCTTTGTTTGATTATACTAATAGGAAAATGTTTTTAAATCATTTCTTTGTTTTGTTCAAGCCAGATAAATCCGAGTTTGTTATCATATACATTGTATTTACAACCGGATACTACTAAACAGAGTACGCTATAGTGTACGCTAGAAAAATTGTGTATTTTAATATAATTAGACTGTTTATTCATGTGTATAAAACTTGATTTAACCGTATTATATAAATAAAATAATGTGTATTTTAATATGATTAGAATGTTTATTCATGTGTATACAACTTGATTTAACAGTATTATAAATAAAACAAAATGTGTATTTTAATATAATTAGACTGTTTATTCATGTATATACAACTTGATTAAACAGTATTATAAAAAAAATATTGCAACATTTGTCCCGAATATTTGTAATTTTAGCGATAGTTTGACAAGAAAGCAACATTCATCTTTCAATGCATTAATATTGAATATGCAACTGATCTCGGTTACTATTTTGTTTCAGAATTATAACTTTAACTAAATTTTATTCATTAAAATTTGAAATAATTATAAGTACGTAAAATTCAATATTTTTCACACTAACAATGAAACATTTGAAGTTATATCAGATAGGGATCGGAATAAAACGATAAACCGTAACCTGAAATCAAAAATTAAAATAACTTCTAAAATAAGGAACACATAAACATTTATCGTACTAGCGTACTCTGCTTAGAAGGGCCGTTTACAACTCAATTATCAGAGTGTCTGTCGGAATATTCACATTCATTGATCAAATAATCATACCGCATTTTCAAGATACAATTGTCAGTTTTTAACAGTTTTAATAACAAAAATAAAAAAATGCGAAGAATTTGCATAGGCGGTCTACAAGTCTCAATATAAATCATGGCAGTATTTGTAGACCTCCTAACACCCAAAACATGTATGTTACTCAATAAAGGTTTAGTTGCTGCATAGACATATAAGAGACATGTCTTTGGTTGCTGAAAAATTATAAAGAAATAGTTGGTGAAATATTTAATGACATACCGATCCCAAATTATTTAATACTTTTTTAATAATACTTTAATAATGTTAAGTTGATAATATATTTTGTTATGTATAATTCTTAGCCATTTATCATGTTTATTCTAATCTAACACGTAGTATGCTAAATCGTTTTAGTTTTATCGCAATTTTGAAAACTATGATATCTTAATTTTTGAGATATTATAGTAATCTCTCCCTAAAAAACATGTCAAAATATATGTCGGTAATAAAATTATAAATTTATAAAATCTGGGAAATAAAAAAAAACACCCGAAAATGAAATGCAGCCGATAATGATCAATAATGCAAGGTAACAGTGTGGAAGAGAACAAAAAAAAATTACATGTGACTTCTGTAATTTAGATTGACCACGGTTAATGT